CCTGACCTCTGCTTCTGTGCAGCCTGCAGGCCCTGAGGAGGGCAGGACCCCTCTATCCTGGAGCCAAGCCCTGGGACAGATGGTGCAGGGGCACGGGGGGTGTGTGGCTGCTCTGGTCCCCCTGCTGGGCTCCACGATGGACCAGGGTTCCGACCCTCCATCCTCCAGGTGCTGCTCTGTCCTGGCAGCAGTTTCTCTCCCCGGCTGGACTCCTGCTGCTCTTGGAAGCACACGGATGTGCGGTGTGTCCCCCCGTCCCAGAAAGCGCTGCCTGACCAGGGTCAATAGTGACAGTAACACTGGTGCAGTGTTGAGGCATCCCCAGTTCCTGAGCAGCCCTGGAGCGAGAGGCTGCGTGTGCGGTGGGGATCCAGCCCTCCTGGAGTGGGCTCTGTGCTGGCAAGGAGGCAAGAGGCTCATCCGGAAGGGGCTGGGGAAAGGGGACATGGTTCTCGTTTGCTCCCGTGCGTGTGGCCGGGCTGTTGAGTGCCGGCCTGGCTTGTTTGTGCGAGTTGCAATGAGTGTGGCTTGTTGCTGAAAACTTTGACAATAACTGATGATCCCGGTGTCATTCCGGAGCTCTGGAAGGCTTGTTTGCAGAGGGCTGTAAGAGTGCGATGCTTTCCCATGTGCGGAGCCCCGTGGGAAGGGATGGGTATTCCTGATATCGCAGGGAATAGTGCAGGCGCTCAGGGACCCGTGCATGGGGCTGAGCGACTGCTGTGGCTGGGGTGTTGTGTCCGGGGCCCGCCAGGTTGGCCCTTTGCAGTGGCCACTTGTGTGCAGTTACTATCACAGACAAAGGCTTCACGTTGTGCTGGGCTGGGAGCCCTCACCCAGCCTGCCGGGGACTGTGCGGCGTTATCCCGCTCATCCCAGCGGGACTCATACTTCAGAGTCACGGAACAGAAGGGGAGCAACCGTCGTGTCTCGGCAGGGGCATGTAAAGGCAATGGGGTGAGACGCGTGTGCTTGTGCAGGGGCTGAGGTTTGGCTGCTCCTGCTCCCTGTGGATCCATCTTCTCCCCCTGCGGCACCGATACTGGCCTCCTTGCCATGGCTTGTGCTCGCTAATGCGATTGCTGGAGGAAGCTCTTTGTTTTCCAGGAAGGCTCTAAATTCATCTGTCCCGTGTGAACCTAGACCCTTGGTCAAGACCACAGCCGCGTCCTGTGCTGTGGGTACAAAGGTCACTTTTATTCCCCAGGGATTGCAGCCAAACTTGCTCCTTGGGCAGCCAGATCTGAGCTTGCTGAAGAACTGCCCCTTCCAAGGTCCAGAACACTGTTTGAGCTGTTCACAGGTCGTTCATTAATGTCTACATTAATCACCCAAGACCTCAGAACAGGCTTCTAAATAAGCAGCATCTGCTCAGCTTTTCCTTGTGTAGTTAAACAATTAACTTAGTGACCACCTTTCGGACCTGTCTTGACAGCAGCATTGAGGTGGGACACTCAGGTGGGACCCCTTTGGTCTTGAGCACTGGGGTGTGTTTCCTGTTGATTCAAAGAGGGTCAGAACCCAGCAGTGCCCCCCCCTTTTCTCTGGGCACTAATAAGAACGAGCCCTTTCAGTATTTTTTCCCCATTAACACCTCGAAATTGGAATTTGTTTCTGCCTCTCAAAGAGCTGACCTGCTGAATTCCTTTCTCCTTAAGCACGAGGCGGTAAAGCCTGCAGGCCCACAGGATGCATCAGGGGAGTTGCAGATTAATATAGTATTACACATTCCTTCTCCTGCCCCTGGAGTAAGCTGGCTCTAAAGCCAGGCATTAGAAAATGGTCAGCAGGGAAGAAGCGGGCAGGAAGCAGGCGAAGGTTGTGCTTGGAGTAGAGCTGTCAATGGCAGGAGATGGCTGTGTTCCTGGCCTTGGGGTGATGGGGTGTCCCATGGAAGAGAAGCATTTCCCTTCCCCTTGGCACAGGACAGTGTCCCCATGAGGTCTGCAGGCACGTCTGTGCCATGGTGAGCACTGGGTACCATGGTACCCCCTGGCATGGGGCATTAGTGCCGTAGCAGGGATGCGGCAGTGGGATGCGTGCATGGCTGAGGCTGCTGCTGGGGCATCCACAGAGCCACAGGGAAGGGTCTTGTCCATGGGGAGCAGAGCATTGGCAGGACGTGGCTGGCAGCCCTGTCGCTGGTGGGAAGGGGGTGGACGCGCTGCCCCATGGGTGGCTGCTGGCCCGGCTGCAGCATGGTGGGGTCCCCATGTCCTTGGTGCCAGAGCCTTCCTGGGGCTGCTGGAGCAAAGCCTGTGTTTCGCCAGGGAACAATGACTCCTATTTTCCAATTTATTCTTCTTTTATTCCTTTGGTTGCCTGGAAAGCTCATAGGGTGGGCTCAGCAGGAGCTTCCACGTTGTCTGTCTGGCCCGTGTTCTAGCGGCGCTTTGGCTGCTGAAGCACAAGGAAGTGCTTCACACAATGGGATATGTGGAGATGCACAGACATTGGCAGGTACCCGTCTGTTCCCAAGGGTGGTCCCCAGCACAGTCACTAACTCCTGGCACTGCAGCAGACGGACTGGGTCTGTCACCCTCCTGCGACCATCCCCTCTCGCTCTCATCCCATGTGCAGCCTGGGGGGAAGCATCCCGACTGCTGATGTTAAAAATAAAGCGATGGGGACGTCATCACATCCCCAAAGTCTGGTTCCTGCCTGTGTCACTCTGGGTTGAGACGAGTGAACGTGGCAATGGTGCTTTAGGGTTTTGGGAAAGGCATTTCCCCAGGAGACAGGCGGCTCCAACAGGGATGGAGGCACCAGGCATCAGCTTTTGGGGGCTGCAAAGGCTGCCTTGTGACCTGTGCACATCGGGGCTATTGGAGGGCCGGTTGCTCTGCATGTGTGATTAATAAAGACGTGGTGCCTGACCCCAGGAATTAGGATTTGGCACAGGACACATTGGGAGGGAGGCAAGAGGGGAAGAAGAAGCCACAGAAAACAAATGTCTCGCCTGAAACCCCGTGGGGCATCTGTGACTGGGGAGGCTCGGCTCTGTAGGTGGCATGGGTCGTGGCTCTGCACCCTCCTTCTGGGAGAGCTCTCTGGTGTCTGGTCCAGCAGCGCTGTGGGTTTTGCTGGATGGGCCGAGCGCTCTGTCTGCACGCAGGGACCTGCAGATGTTCCACTGCGGTGCCAGCCCCAAGAATAACTCCCTTGTGTGGGAATGAACCCTCATCCTGCTGGACCAGGAGCAGAAGCAGCGTCTCCTCCCGGCTCAAACTCATCTGTGAAGATCTCTGCCCGTGCCTCTGGGTGGTCTCTGCTCCACTTGGAGATGGGAACCTGGAAACGGAGTTTAGTGTCTGGGTGACGTGAGCTTTGCTCCCTGGATGATCCCAGTGAAGCCTCCTGGGCTGGCGGTTCCCAAGAGGGCAATGTGGCTTCGCTGGAGCCATGGGGCTGCCCCACAGGCTGTGGGGTGTAGGAAGTTGTCTGCTTGTGGGGTTGTGCTGGAGGAGCATCTAAAGCAGGGTGTGAGAGCTGTGGGTCCCCCCAGCGCTAAGGGGGAACCAGCCCTGACCCCCCTGCCTGGCTCTGGGGCAGCCCCTCAGCATGAGGGCACCTTCCTCCTGCTGGGCAGGGCTTGGGCACCGTGTGCCTGCTTGGCACGGTGTGAGGAGGGAGCGTGAGCGGGCCATGGGCCATGCCCCACGGCGAGCGGCTGCCCTCAGCCGAGTGCCTGGCCCTCAACACCCCTCTCCTTGCCAGCACTGCCCTTGCTCCTGGCACTGCCTGCGCCTGGCCGTGGGGCTGCTGGTGATGCTGGAAAGGGGCTGGCAGGAGGCTGCCTGCGGCCGGCGCTGCCCCATGAGCTGATGGATGGCTCCCAGCCCACAGCAGGGTGCTGCTCTGTGGGGCTGGGCCTCTTGAGCTGCCTCCTCACCACCTCTTCCCTCCTCTTGCCAGGAACAACCGTGTGTCCCCCTTGCGACAACGAGATGAAGTCGGAGGCCATCGTGGAGCATCTGTGTGCCAGCGAGTTCGGTAAGGAGGGATGCTGGGGCACGGGGCGGCGTGGCGGGATGCTGGACCACTGCGTCCCTGCGTGGAGCGACCAGCGATGCGGCCGTGTCGCATGCAGACAGCACGGGCGAGGCCAGCGTGCCTCTAGATGTCAGTGTCGGCGCGCAGCGGTGGTGGATGGGACAGGGCTGGACACGTCCAGGATGTGTCCGGCTCCTGCAGCCCAGAGCACCTAGGGATAGGGACAGTAGGTCCCAGTGTCCGTGCTCCTCCATCACCCATCTGCGGTGCTGAGCATCCCCCTGCTCCGGCGGGATGAGGAGCCATGCACTGATGCTGTGGGGTCCCGCTGCTGCTGTCAGCCCCTGCTGCAAGCAGGGAACAGGGTGGTGTGGGTCTGGGGATGGGGCAGAAGCAGCAGTGCCTGTTCTTTGGTGGGCTCAGTGGGGTTTGTAACTTAACCCTGCTGTTCTGTGCTCGCAGGACTGATGGGGAGCATGTGCCCTCGTTCTAGGACTAAAGCAGCTTCCTCCAGGCTGCTGTTACTGCTGGGTTTCTTTTTATCAAAGTGCTCATGTCAAACCTAGGTGTAAAAATCCAAAAGCCAGTCCCAAAGCCAAGCAGTGAGCTTAAAAATTGCAGAGCTACTAGAAAGCTGTGTCTTAAATGTATTATGAGAGAGTGCATCAGAGAATCGTAGGTAAACAGAACTTCATTTAAAAGCAGAAAGTATCGCAGGGAAAATTATTAGCTTTCTCAGATCAAACCCAGAATTAACTGGTTTTGACATCCTTTCTGGTGTATGTAACTTTCCCGGAAGGTTATTAAAGGCATATTGAACAAGGTGTGCATTCCTTGGGGATTAGCACTTGAATATGCCCTGCGCCAGAGCGCACTATCAAACCCAAACCTGCTCTGCATGCTGGCGTGTTCCCCTTTCTGCTGGAAATGAATTCTCTGCTCTCCTGCGGGTTTGGTATGCTGAAAGTCCTAAGTTCAGCCCAGACTTTTCCTAACAGGGAAAAGCATCAACGGGAACACCCATGTAATAGTTCCCAGGAATGTGAGTACTCCTGGCTGGGCCGGGTAATGGATGTGTGTGTTCGGTGGCTGGGAATAGGGTTTGTTCTTCACCCCACCATGGGGCTGAACAGGCCTCTGAGATGAGGTGAACAGGAGCTGCCCCACTGCATCCCTGGGAAGAGGCTGCTCCGTGCTCTTGGATCCAGGGGCTCTGGGCTTGGGGACCTCTAACCCACAGCAGGAGCGAGGGCAGGTTGGCAGCAGTGGCTCCATTGCTGATGGGTCACTGCGATACCTGTTGCCTCCCGACACAAGGAGCAAGTTGAGGTGATGTCCCACTGCTGGGCAAGTGCTGGAAAGGGAAATACAAGTTCAACCACATGCTTGTCATCAGCCTCTGCTGCTAAATATCCTCCCGGAGCTCCGGGACAGTTACACAACAGGGAGCAGAGGCCAAACCAGAAGAATTCATGGCCTCGGTGGCTCGAGATGCTGAATTGCCCACAGAGTATGTTGGTTATTGGGAAATTTTGTGGTGACAGCATCCAGAGGATGGGAATGTTTCTTGGCAAGCGTCTCCCTGGGCAGTACCCAGATTTAGTGTTACCTTGTACCAGGAGCAGCAAATAGAGGGGAGAACCATCACTCTGCCTTCACAATGGGAAACTGGCTGTGGCTTGGATATACTGTTGTCACCCGGCTCCTCCCTGCCACCAGACCCGGTCGCGGTGGGAAGCTCGCTCGCATGGGTTTCCACTGGTGTAGGTTTCACTGTGTTCTTCCTTCTGTCACTGTGGTTTTCCTCCCATCCAGGAGGGCCCTGGGTGCGGGTAGTGCTGCCTCCAGATGTGCCCAGGCTGAGAAGCTGGAGCGAGGGAAGAGATGTGATGTAGGTCTCGCCTATACCCTCTGAGGGAAGGCAGCACGGGATGCTCCCGGGGGTGTCCCAGCATTGACTTCAGGAAGTTCTCTCAAAGCACAGAGCGTGGCCCTTGGATCTTTGTTTAGTTACTGTCATGGGGTGATTTCTCAAGGAGAGCTGTTTATTTGGCACTAGAATAAACTCCCAGCCCTTAAGACTGAGACTTCTGCTGCACATCCACCAAGGTAAACACTGGCAGCTGACAGGTTACAGACCCTCATCAAAGCCAGACATGTACAATAAGTGTTTAAACTAACGTGTGCTGCGCTGGTCCCTGCAGCAGTGTTATTGTGGGGTTTCACTTATATCCCAGTTACAGACAGGACACGAGGAGCGCTTTGTCCACCATGGATGTGCCAGGGTAGGAGCTGGCTGCGTAACAGCCCTGGGAGTGATGCTGGTCTGGAGGAGTGAAGGAGGAGAGCTGCATCCAGCCCTGAACATGGGAAGACTGTGAGGAAAAGGGACCTTTCTTCCCTATCCCAGGAGAGGGCCTTGGGTGAGCTGCTGGGGTAGCACCCTCACAGGGAAGAGCTTCTTCCTTATCTCCAACCTGAACTTCCCCTGTTTCAGTTCAAACCCATCACCCCTTGTCCTATCGCTACGGTCGCTGACGAAGGTCCCTCTCCAGCATCCTTGTAGCCCCCTTCAGACCCTGGAAGGACCAGCTCAGGGGCTCTGGGCTAACTGGAGTTCAGCCTTTGGTGCAGCTCTGGGGGCTGCAGGATGAAGATGCGATCGCCCTCCCGTGCCCCCCAGCCTCCCTGTGCTGCAGCCAGGGCTTGTTCCTCCCTCCTTGCGCAGGCTGGGCTGGCCCTGGCTTCATTCCTCTCTCTGTTTCTCTTAGTGATTTTATTTATTGTTTCTGCCCTTTCTCTGGGGTCTGAGGGGATCCTGCTCTAGGGCTCTCGCTGCACTGGAGACTGCAGTGCAATCAATACACGCTGTTTATTTTTCCCCCTGACTGACAGCTCCTTGCCTGCAGCCTTCTCCCGTTACAGCCCTAATGTGTCTTCTGGCAGGTTTCCTCCTTCTGAGTGATTTCTAAAGGAAGGAGCAATGAGGCTGAAGGAACAGCAGAGCTTTCCCTTCTCTCATGTTCCCTCCCCTGCCCCTGACGTGCTGGAATGGGGCCCCTGCCTGTGCAGGCAGGAGAGCAGCAGAGATGATCCCAGGCTCCAGCGTGGTGATGAAGAGGGGCTGGAGATGCCTGTGGAGCACAGTTGTGGTGGGGACAATGAGTGGGGTGCCTGTGGTCACCCTGGTACAGTGCATCCCTTGGGCATGTGGAGAGGGCACTTGAGCCCTGATGCTGGTGTTGGGGTAGGCAGCACTAACACGGTGTTCCTGGTTTGCCTGGGATTCCTTTTTCCCCGTGCTGGGAAGCTGGAGCTGTGGGGTGATTGATAGGAATTGTTCCAAGTGATGAAACACGAGTTGTGCTTTGTCAGGCTGGACCCCAACCAAAGCTCTGTGGGGCCTTTGGTGCTGCTGCTGCCAAGAGTAATTTCACTCCGAGTGAGCAAACACTTTCATAAACACAGTCTCACATTAGTAGAAATAAAAAAGGACAGTTTTATATCTCCAGTGCTCCCTGTTCTATCTGCATTAGAGAGAGCAGAGCTCTGCTTCCATCTCATATGAGCTGTTTGTCACCAGGACCTGGTTCCTGGCTTGGTCTAAGGGGGGTGCATCCCTCTTTGCCAGGGGGAGCTGTGACTGGTGATGGGGCAGCCACCACTGGAATCAACCAGGTTGGAAAAGAGCTTTAAGGTCATTGAGTCCAATTGCCAAGGCCACCACTAACCCGTGTCCCCAAGTGCCACGTCTATATGGTGTATGAACACCTGAGCACCCTCTGGGCAAGGAATTGTTCCTCAGCTCCAGCTAAACCTGCCCTGGCGCAGCTTGAGGCCGGTTCCTCTTGTCCCATCCCTTGTTCCTTGGGAGCAGAGACCAGCCCCCTCCTGGCTCCATCCTCCTGTCAGGCAGTTGCAGAGACTGAGCCTTCTCTTCTCCACACTAAACCCCCCAGGCCCCTCAGCCCTTCCTCATCACACTTGTGCTCCAGGCCCTGCTCCAGCTCCGGTGCCCTCCTCTGGCCCCGCTCCAGCACCTCAATGTCTTTCAGCTCCCTCCTGGCAGCCACGGCTGAGGATTGAGTCTGTGCGAGCAAGCGCATCCTGGGGTCTCGGGGGCAATTCTGGCTCTTCTGCTCGGTGCTGAGACAGACCTGGTGTGGTGCAGGGGCAGCAGAGAGGCTGGGGCTCCCCAGGAGGAAGCTGTTTGCTTTGGCAGCTCACTTGCATCCTGGAGCCAAGTCTCAATCCATCCCTCCCAAGCCTTCCCCGCTGCTGGCGGCGGCGTTCCCAGGGCCGGGGGGACGCCAGGCGAGGGGCCGGGGGGCGCCCCGCCCC